TGTGTGTGTGTGTGTGTGTGTGTGTGTGTGTGTGTGTGTGTGTGTGTGTGTGTGTGTGTGTGTGTTGAGGTTATGAAAACAAAATAAAAACACAGCCAATAATAAATTAATAATAATAACAATCACTTCTCATCACAAGATGAGAATGAATGTTTCCACGACTCAAGAGTTTCTTTGAGCCCCATAATAACTGCAGTTTCATGATCGAGCAGCCAACATCTTTGTCACGGTAGCCATGTGCCAAGTCAACAGTAACACAAGTTTGCGTTCTTGGTTTGAAGGCACCGTTTAATTCAACTGTGGTGTCTAAGTCTGGACACTGGGGGGCACCAACCTAATAACGTACCTGACTTAAAGAGAAGAAGAAAGAAAGACGAAATCTGACGTCGTGTACTGTGTTGACCTGTAAATAAAGTGAATAAATAAAGAATACAATGCTAATTGCTGATAATACACCGACCAAACCTGAATGTCCGCTACAGGCCCAAACAATAACTCCCGCCCATTGTCAAACTCTTTATGGCAATCAAAGGCTTTCAACTTGTGGTGATTGGAGCACAATGAAGCTATGCTTGTAAAAATACGACTTTTTCATCTTCACCACATTTAGTGAAGCAAATTTCCTTGGCAGCCATACCCTTTAAGTACCTTAGGACATGTTTTACCATAGTAAAATGGTTTATGTTGATGTAGCGAAATACTGAGATGATCTGCTCAACACAAAACTCAAATCAGATATTGTACAAGTAGTTAGAGGTGAATAAATAAAGTGAGGCACAGCCTCTCTGTGCTTCCTGACATCACACATGTCGTCTGTATCCTTAGTATAGTCAAGCTTTTGTCTGGTGTCACTCTTGGTTTACAGTCATCAATGTTGACCCTTTCAAGACTTTTTTCAACATACTTTCATTGAATGATTTTTTTTTTCACTTTTCACTTTGTTCAAAATCAATACCTAGTGTTTCAGTTTACCCAAGTCGTTCATCTTGAATTTTGTTGCTGTCATTTCTTTTACTTCTCTCAGCAGGTTTTCATTGATTGCAACAATAATCTGTTCACCAACTCATATTATTTTGATCACTTTCTCACCATTACTTACTTTTGTGTAAGCACAATGATCAATTGGGTTTTGCACAAACTAGTTTTTGTTCAGATATTCATGTGGCATTTTTCCGATATCTGCCGGACTGTTTTAGTCTGTAAAATGGCTTTTGTGCATATTCGAACTCACATTAGATTTAGCCAGTTTGAGTAAACATCTCAAAACGCTAATGTTTAGAAATTCGATTCTATATGCAGAAGAATCAAATGAAGAAGCAAACAATTTTCAGCAAAGTATCACAAATTAATTGTATTTACAATTTTCAGTGAACCCGTTCATGCCCCCTGTAACCTGATAACATGATAAGCTGTCTACCTTTGTAACCTCTGTCACTGAAAGGGTTAATTTTCTAAATATTACATCTTCCTGAAGACTGAGGTACTCTATATACAGTAAATGGGACATTCTAAATAATTTTTTCTGAAACCTCTTAAATTAGAGCTGAAAGTGCACACTTTGATATGAATTCAAATTCATTGTAGAGGGAAAATGTACCGGTACCCACTCTGTTGCACTACATTTCTATCTTTCATTACCACATTTTGACAAATCAGTGTGGCTTTAAAATAAACCAAACAAACAAAAAAACTTTTTTGCTTCAGATTTATGGGGCTAATTTTTTTTTTCTTTTTCCAGATATGGACGCCAACTATGGGGGAGGACTGTTGGATATGGTCAAGGGCGGAGCTGGAAGGTTCTTCAGTAACTTCAAAGACAATCTCAAGGATACCCTAAAAGATACATCCACCAAGGTCATGCATCAGGTTGCCACGTAAGTACTGTATTTACAAATCATCCATCCATCCATCCATTTTCCGATCTGCTTATCCTCACAATGGTCGCGGGGGTTGCTGGAGCCTATCCCAGCCGTGTCCGGGCAGTAGGCGGGGGACACCCTGAACCGATTGCCAGCCAATCGCAGGGCATGCAGAGACGAACAACCATCGGCACTCACATTCACACCTCGGGACAATTTAGAGTGTTCAATCAGCCTTCCATGAATGTTTTTTGAATGTGGGAGGAAACCGAAGTGCCTGGAGAAAACCCACGCAAGCATGGGGAGAACATGCAAACTCCACACAGGGAGGCCGGAGCTGGAATTGAACCCACGACCTCTGTACTGTGAGGTCGATGCACTAACCACTGGACCACTGGGCCACTTTACAAATTATAAATATGTAAATAATGTATATTCAAATCAATGCAACGTCAGATTATTCTTTCAGTGCGAAATAATGCGGGTTCAGTCAATTAATTTTTCAGATTGTGATGTAAGCACTGGGCCGCATGCTCAAAGGTTGGCAGCGCACCCGCATTACAATTCTGAGGCTGGGGGTTCGAATCTGGGCTCTGACCTTCCTGTGTGCAGTTTGTTTGTCCTCCCTGTGCTTATTCCAGGTATTCGATCTTCTCTCCGCATTCCTAAAACATGCATCTTAGTTTCAATGAAGACTGTAAAATGTCCTTGGATGTGAATGTGAGTGGTTGTTTTGCTATATGTGCCCCGTGATTGGCTGGTGACCACTCCAGTATGTATCCTGCCTCTGGCCCGAAGTCAGTTGAAATAGGCTCCAGCTCACGTGCGACCCTAATCAGCATTTAGCAGTGTAGAAAAAGTACACATGGATCTGCGGTGCCTTGGATAGCAAGCTACGGAAACAACACTAGGACAAAACACATAGGAGTTGTCTGCACAATCTGCATTGGATGGTTAGATGGATGGATGGATGGATGGATGGATGGATTAATTTCTAGTTGTACATGAGAGAATACACTGTGATTAATTTCATTCTCTGAAGAAGCATGGAAAAAAATAAAAAAAATAAAATCACACACATTATTATCAATAACAAATATAACAACCTGGGAATTTTTTTTTTACTTCAGAATTCTTTCTGCTGTTAGCATCATGAGTTTTATTAGTAATAAGGCTAGTGAGCCATTCTTGAAGCAGCCATGCGAGCACCAGCCTGCTCCACAGATGATTTTATGTGTTTTGGATCATAAGCATATCCTTTCTTTCTCCATACCTTGGCCTTTCCATCACTTTGGTCTCATCGCTCTATAAAACTTTGTTCCAAAACCTTTGTAGATCATTGCAAAATCCAATCTGGCCTTCTGATTCTTTTTGTGGATGAGTGGTTTGCATGTTGTGGGATGGCCTGTATATTTCTTCTCTCAAAGTCTTCTTCGAACAATGGATTGTCATACCTTAACCTCTGCCCTGTGGAGGTTGCTAGTGACTCACTGACTGTTGTCTCTAGATGTATCTTCACAGCTCTCTTAGTGTTTCCCGTCATCAACTGCTGTTGATACCCTTGGCTGACCTGTTTGATGTCTGTTGCTCAGTAGCTTCCTTCTTTTCAGGACATTGTTGATTGGTTGTGCCCGATGTTTGTGCAATAGCTCTGCTAGATTTTCCCCTATTCTCTCAGCTGCCAAAATGGTTTGCTTTTCTCCCATAGACAGGCCTTTGGTCTTCAATTTTGCTTAACAGCATTTGTCACAGGTGAAACTCCAAACCAAAAAGAAGCACCATCTAATGTTTGAGCGGTTAATCTAAAAGGCAACAACTGAGTAACTGGAAACACCCATCAGTCACATGTTCTAATACTTTTGCTCAATTTAAAAAGTGGGCGGTCTCAAACAAAAGGTGCTTTCTCTGGAGTTGTTGAACACATCTCGATGTAAATGCTCAGAAATAAAAGCTGACTTCTGAACTTTTGCCCCAAATTCATTTTTTGATCTGATACCATAATGTTTTCGTTGTACAGCAAAAACAAAGAAGTTGACCTCACCACTCCAATACTCTGGCCTGGGACTTTATGTTTTAGCATGCCTGCGCATTTTAGGCTACCATTCACATTCATTTTGCAGTAGTTTGCACTGATTTAAGCGAGTAACTAAAAGAGTAGAATTATTTTTCTTTTTTATTCTTTGATGAGTCTTTCAATAAAAATGCCACTGGTTAGAGATGTGAACCAGAGCAGCATGGTTTGGAAACACCAGAGTCTGGCACAGCGTGGTCCACTCAGTTTGTGAGCGTGTGCACTGTTTGTGCACCGGGCCCACAAAGGGGGCTCTGTTTTTCAAAAAAATGCACAACCATTTCCTTGCACTGTTGACTCAGCAGGTCTGATCATGAATATTCCTGCCTTGTGTCTCCCTCTTTAGACCTGCACTCTCTTGTCTTGTTGTTTCTTCTTTTCAGCTCTGTTCCTCAGTTTTCAGTCTTGTCTCACTCGTTTCTCTCCATGACTAAATTATTCATGGTTGTTGATTGTGCTAACTGGCCAGTGTATTGCTGTTATGCAGGAGGGTGCATTTCATTGTGCCTGTGTGTGATGCAACTTATATTTATACTGTGTACAGTTTTCTGAAACATTTATTTCTTTTTAGCATGCAACACTTTGTTTTTTTTCTTGTCTACCCCCCCCCAATTTTGCTGCTGTAGACTGCAAATGTCCCCAATGGGGGACAAATAAAGGTTATCTTATCTTGTCTTATCTTATCTTAAAAGCTGAGTTTCTGGAGATTTGAATGGTACCCCGCATGTTACAATTGTCGAATTTGAACCGAAGCTTGGGGAGACTTAAGCTTTGATCCTGTCGTGTTTTCAAGTCCTAATCAACATTCTAAATCCATTTTCAAGGCAGATATTGTGAAAAGAAATTAGACGAACATAAAGATTCGCCTTTTTCGTCTGTTTTCGAACATCCATAGTTCAGTGACAGGAACACTTACACAGATTCTTACTGTACGGGAGACATATTCATAATAATAACATTTTGAATATTTCAAAAAGAGACCAAAACTATGCTGATACTCCAAATGGTTCAAGAATAGCTACAAATTTACTTTGGGTGCACCTTTCCATCGTTTTTGGCAAAGTTGCCCTCGGTTTATTAAAGAAGAAACAGTCATTTTCATGTGTTGCATCCATTGGAGTTTTGTTCAGACAATTTCGACATTTACCTTGTGAGGATAATTCCATCCATCCATTTTCTGATCCACTTTATCCTCACGAGGGCTGCGGGCATGCCGGAGCCTATCCCAGCCATCTTTGGGCAGGAGGCGGGGTACACCCAGAACTGGTTGCCAGCCAATTGCAGTCGTGAAATGGATGGATGGATGATTATATTCTTTGAGTATGCCTGCATTCATGACAATAAACAATTAATTGTCTTTCCTCCGAACTCAGTTGAAGAGCCACAAATGGGTGTCACTGGGTAGTTAAAGATGCAACCAAGAGAGCATTGAAGGAATGAAGGAAGAAATACAGTAAAAATGAATACGGGATACATATACAAGAATCGGTACGTCGGTAGTGTTATTTTATGTAGAAATTGTGTGAGTTCTTTTTCCCGATTTTGATTTAGTTTCCCCCTCTCTGTGAAAATGTTCAAAACTGACATGAACAGGGAATGATCTTTGTTGCAGGTACACTAAAGGGGAGCTAGACATAGCCTACATCACGTCACGAATCATAGGTAAGTACACAAGAGTCACGAGTATGGCTGAATATCACCTGAATCATCTAAAGCAGGTTCCATTAAGCCCCATTCCTGTCCATTTGTTGAATGGATAAATGCTAGCTGAATATTACGTCTACAAGACTTTAATGTTTGTAGATACATTCTTGAAAAGCATTTTCAAACTATTTCAAATATCGTATCCTATTTATTTTAGAATGTATTTCTTAACACAACTTTTTACAGTGTCATCATGCACGTTCTTGTTTCATTTCTACCTTCAAGGTACCGGTAAATACATGTATTTAATTCATTTTTAGTATGAACTATTTTGAACTGTGGATGACAGTCTTCTGTCCTTTCCATATCATCTAAAACCAAATTAAAAAACTGTGCAACTGGAATCCAAATCTCTAAGGGATTGCAACGCACTGCGTGATGCTTCCAAATCCGACTGCGACCTGACTATCACAAAAAACGACAGTTGGCTGCTCATCCTTTGCACATCGGGCAATTTAGCAGAGCCACTCCTTGCGTTGTTAACTGTGCGAGCCTGTACCAATTTCTGAGGCTCCCCATACAATAGGTTATCATTTTTTTTTGATTCATAAATAGATGGAGTGTCAGTCAAGGAAGGGGCTTGTTGCTGCAAAAAGAGGGCATGGGAGAGAATAAAGACAAAAAGTAGGAATATATTGAAGGGCGACCCTGCTATCGATCAAGTATTTGAATTCGAACATTGTAATAAAGTGCAGGCACACATATTGCAGTATGTGATATGATAGTTTGTGTCGTCAACTCTCTCACCTCTCTATTTATGTACTGTTGTTATTATTATTATTATTAATTTATTCTATTGTATTGTTTTTGTTCAGTCTTTACTATATAAGGTCTTTGTTGCAGATGCCATTGCTGGGAAATGAAGTAGTAAACAAAGAGCTGAGTTGTCAAATATGGATGCTATGTCATTTTTCAGTGATGACCTACCCAGCAGAGGCTGTGCAGATTGGCAACCAGAACCATGTGGAGGACATCCGATCCTTCCTCGACAGTCGACACGCTGACCACTATACCGTCTTCAACTTGTCACAGCGCAACTACCGCGGGGCAAAATTCTCCAGCAGGGTAAATTAATGACCTCATCCTCTCCACTGCATGCATCAATCGTTTTGTTTCGATCCCCAAATGAAAAAAAATGGCCAACTTATGTCAGGATAACCTATCAGCTTGTCTCCCCAAAAAAGATGAGAGAAGCCCGTAGCAGAGCAGCCAATCTATAGAAATCCACATAGAGAATAATTTGTCTGAATGTTCATGTTTTTAACATGTCAAGAACAGTAGTGTGGGACAGTTATTGCAGTACAGGGGGAAAATAATTCTGCATAATGCTCAATTGCGCAACATAATCATTGTTAATCAGATATTTAAAAGGAAACGCACCCCAATGTTTTTCTTTACAATCTTTGCTGCCACAAGGCTTAACATGGCATTCTGTTTAATATTATGTTTGTGGAATATTAAGTCAAGCAGTAAAATCCACCCATTTTTGTCCATCTCAGAGGTTGGCCATTTTGCATTTTATGGTCTTTTTTGCCATCTGTCCAAGCTTTTTTGGAAAGTGTTGTCGCCATAAGATTCTAAAACCAATAAAGTACAGGCTATTCACCAGGTCTCACTCTTACCCAGTCAATGACCATTTGAATAAAACAATGGTCATCACAGAATAGATAAAGGCACAAATCGTTGCCGACACTCATGCACAGAATTCCACATTTGTTTTATTTTGACGATGCCCATTGTGAGCCAGAGGATTAAAATGAAGTATTGTTTGCGCATCAACCCTCCAGCCTCCAGCACCTATCTGCGAGGCAGTTGCGGAGTTCACATGGCCTACATAGCTGCCTGTGGAAGTCAGTGTGCCTTCACAGATGACTCATCATGGCAGTTTGTGTGATGTGTTGCTCTACTGCTGCTGCTGCGCTCTAACTTCCACTTCTCTTTCCTCTTGCCATGTGTTTTGTTTCATCACTACTTTTCCTTCCTTCCCGCTGTTGATTGCATCCTTTTCCTCTCACCTCAACTTTTCTTCTGCCATTTGTGCCCTACTCCCTCCCCAATTCTTCTGCAGGTTTCAGAGTGTAATTGGCCTGCTCGCCAGGCTCCCAGCCTCCACAACCTCTTCGCTGTTTGTAAGAACATGCATAACTGGCTGAAGCAGAATCCCAAGAATGTGTGTGTCATCACCTGCTCGGTAAGCTCCTCATACCATTCACTTGCTTCAGGTAGTTCAAGTAACACTAGGCTTTTACCGGGAACCCACTCTATTATGCCAGTGACGTGCCATGTTGAATATTGTTCCTTGAATCCATCATGTTACCTGGCGTGCGGGTAGCTCCCTAATCCCTAAAATGCAAGGTTTGTTTTAAGAAGACATTTTGCTTCACAAACACATCTGAGACTGAGATAAACTGTTTGGAAAATGAATTAAAAAAAAAAAAGTGAGATAAGAATAGGAAAATAAACACTTGAGTAATGCAGAAGAGCACAACCTAATAGCACAGTTAAGGAAAGACTGAAATCAAACCCACTAATAGTGCACATGGTTGTTTCCACACAATATGAAATGTGCTTTTATTTTATTTGTCAAATGGTTTTATATTTCTTGCTAATTGTATTCAGTCACGCTGCATCATAATTAGAAAGAAAGAGAAGTTTGCTGGCTGTCATTGCCGTGTGCTTTTTAGGATGGCCGGGCACCTTCAGGTGTCTTGGTTTGTGCCATGTTTTGCTTCTGCCACCTCTTCAACAATCCAGTTCCCGCCATGCAACTCCTCAGCGCAAAGAGACCAGGCTCGGGCCTGTGGCCGTCACACCGCAGGTTAGCATCCATCTTGTGACATGACATCAGCGGTGGGTAGAGTAGCTAAAACATGTACTCAAGTATGAGTACTGTTACTTTGGAATAATAGCACTCAAGTAGAAGTAAAAACTCCAGAGGCTCTAAAAAGACTATATTTTGTTCCAGTCTAAATTTATACTTGCTAGAGCTTAAAATATGCAGGGTATATTTAACAGAGAAAAATATTTAGGTTTAATATTTAAGTAAATTTTACGAGGGGAGTTTTGGAGTAAATTTCACTTGCTTAATAATGATTAGTTTTTATCAACCAGTTCAGGGTGTACCCCGCCTCCTGCCTGAAAGACAGCTGGGATAGGCTCCAGCCCACCTGCGACCCTCATGAGCATAAAGCGGCTTAGGACATCCAAACTGGCACTGTAATTGTGTTGCCCCAACAGTCTCTTCAACATTTCTTGTATCCCAGGGGTCACCAACTAGTTTGAATCAGAGTTATTAAGGGCTATCATTTTGATACACACTTCTGAAATAACAAATTTGCTCAAATCACCTTTAATAATTGTATTATATCTTGTTATATTAGAAGTCCTTATGAGGGGGATTCAGGTTTTTATTTAATCATTTTATTTTGAACCACACATGTCATGCAAATATAGGTAGGTCTTAAATAAACACATGCACAAACAGGGCATGCATTATTGGACAAATGTCATCATTTGGGGCCTCCAGATACAGAAGAGTTTGGGGTTCCAAAACAATCACCCTCTGGTGTAATACAAAGTTCTTGTGAATTTCAGATCTGAACACATGACGATCTGTCATCATATTTCAACCCTATGTTTTTAGACATTTATCTGTTGCAGGATCCCGCCTGTCCTCTATGTTGGGCTTTGACATCGGAGAACCATTGTATCCATTTGATATGGAATGATTAAAACGCCTGTCCTCTATGTTGGGCTTTGACATCGGAGAAGCATTGCATCAACGTACTGAGTTTCCATTTGATATGGAATGATGCAAGCACAATCAATTGCATATGTTCCATAAAGCTACCTTGGACCGATCACCAGTCAATCACAGGACTGACACAGGAATATTGTCCTCTTGCAGGTACATTGGGTATGTATGTAGCATGGTGTCAGAGAAGCCCAGTCTGCCCCACACCAAGCCTCTGATGATCAAGGCTCTCGCCATGAGTCCAGTTCCCTGTTTCAACAAACAACGGAGCGGCTGTCGGCCTTTCTGTGACGTCCTCATTGGAGAGACCAAAATCTTCACTACGGCACAGGAGCATGAGAGAATGAGGTACAGCCACATTTTGAGACGTCAAACTTTGACTTCAATATTTTGGTACAAAATACCGTAACTTCTGCAAATAAAATGATTTAATTCAAGAAAAAAAGATCTTTGTCTACCAGTCACCTGTTACAATAGTCACTTACAGTATCTGTATGGTTGAAGGGCAAGCTAAATGTTGCACAATCCAAGTACTTTTCATATTTTCTGACGGAACATTGTCCTTGAGTCAAAAATTGTTCAATATATTGATTCTATCCTTTTATATCTAGAGAGCACCGAGTTCAAGAGGGCAAAGTGGTTTTTCCGCTAGGTGTCAGCGTGCAAGGAGATGTCGTAGTTTCTGTCTATCACATGAGGTCCACCATCGGGGGACGCCTGCAAGCCAAGGTGCACGTAACTTCCTTCTTTGCCAATGTCTATCTAATAAAATGTAGTGTTCGAAAAGGCAAGTGGAAAATTGAGATCAATTCTTTTTTTTTCATGGTTTGTCAAGTTTCATTTTTCGTATTCACTGAATTTTTGATCACAGTGCTTTAAAAATGGTAGCATTAGATCAAACCAATGTCAAATAAACTGCTTTTTCGTATTCACTGAATTTTTGATCACAGTGCTTTAAAAAATGGTAGCATGAGATCAAACCAATGTCAAATGAACTAGAAATCTGTCTTTAAACATTTGGTGTTGAAAGTAACCCTTTTTTTCACCCTTTAGGTGTCTAACACACAAATTTTCCAGATCCAGTTTCACACTGGCTTCATTGCTCCTGGGACCACGATGTTAAAATTTAACAAGTAAGTCTTGTTTTGCTTTTAATGCAGTCCAGTGAATTGATTACTCAAATAAGTAACTCAGTGAAATTAAATTAAGCTTCAGAGTAGTTTAACTGGGGTGGCACAGTGGCCGACTGGATAGCACAGAGGTCGTGGGTTCGAATTTAGGCTCCGGCTTTGCTGTGTGAAGTTTGTATTTTCTTTTCATTTTTTTTCTTTCGGGTTTTCTCCGGGTACTTCGGTTTCGTCTCACATTCCAAAAACATGCATGTTAGTTTAATTGAATATTCTTAATTGTCCATTAGTGTGTTTGTGAGTGTGAATGGTTGGTTGTCCATGTGTGCCCTGCGTTTGGCTGGAGACCAGTTCAGTCGGTACCCTGCCTATCGCTCAAAGACAGCAGGGATAGGCTCCAGCACGCTCGTGACTCTAGTGAGGTTCAGATAATGGATTGTTGAATGTGAAAATATCTTATATCCCAGTAAAGACAGCAGGGATAGGCTCCAGCACGCTCGTGACCCTAGTGAGGTTCAGATAATGGATTGTTGGATATGATGGTGGGGGGGGGGGTAATGGTAATGTGAAAATATCTTATATCCCAGGGGTCACCAACCTGTTTGAACCAGAGTTATTTCTTGGTTACTAAGATGGCTGAGATAGGCTGAGGATAAGCGATTTACAAAATGGATGGATGGATGGATAGTATAGCTGATGACCCCAGATCACCTGTTCTGGTATTTTGTAACATTGGTGGAGCGACTAAGATGGCTGAGATAGGCTGAGGATAAGCGATTGAGAAAATGGATGGATGGATGGTATCGCTGATGACCCCAGATCACCTGTTCTGGTGTTTTGTAACATTGGTGGAGCAGCAAGGACACCTCTCATGTTCAATTAGAGGTACTGTTACTGTGCAGATCTTCTTGTAAAAAATGTCGGCGTATTAACATAATTTGCAGTAACTTTCACTTTCTGCCAATTATTTAGTTGGCCCCTTTTTTTTTTTTAATTTCATGACTTTTATCAGGCTATAGCGTGCTATGTCCACAAGACATTGAAAATACAGTGAAGGCCGAAGCTGATGTTAACAATGAAATTCCTTCTAACTCATTTAATATCAGCCGTTTTTCTCAAATTGGGAGAGCCATTTTAACCATTTTGACAAATTTTTGAAGGCCTACAGAAAGTTTTTTTTTTCTGATTTCTGTAGCTATACAAGCATGGAGCCTACCTAAGGAAATCTTGAACCCTTTTCTTTCATCAGGAAAAAAAGTACATTTCTAACTTTTAAAATTGTCTTTTACCATTCTTAAGTAAACAGCAGCTGAACATTGGTAAATGTCTTCAAAATATTTGTTTCCAAGAAAAATTCAGAGAAAAGCTTTTTGTGAAAGGATGCATTTCAAGTACAACTTTCACTTTCATGCTAGTTTTTTTTTTGCATTTGTGATACCTCAAATATCTAAACAATGCTTTCCTACTGAATAACAACGTAAACAACTAAAAAGTCACTGGATTGCAAAATAACATGTTATTGCAACATAACCACTGCACTGATACATGACCTATGCATGAGATTTGCAAGAACTTTGTGTGTGTGTGTGTGTGTGTGTGTGTGTGTGTGTGTGTGTGTGGTGTGTGTGTGTGTGTGGGTGTGTGTGTGTGTGTGTGTGTGTGTGTGTGTGTGCACCTGCGTGCGTGTGAGTTTGTGAGTTTGTGTCCATGCATGCATGTGTACGTGTGTTCGTCAAGGATGACGATGTGACTTGATCACCTTTTTTTATTTGAAAAAGCTCTGTTGTAGAGTAAGCTGTCGGTATTTATTCACGTTCTCACCACCACAATGCTTTTGCACACCACCTCACCATGTAGGATCACCGTACCACACCCACTCACACTATGTGTGGACCAAGATCTGCTGAAACCCACTGTCATCTATTGGTGATTTATCATATTGAAATCATTCCCACATCCTTGATAAGCCCTTTATTAAAAATGTTTTTAATTAAAAAAAAAAAAACACACCAAAAACGTATTTTATTTTTTTAGTTTTTGCCTCTCTTGCATCCCTCATTTCTCCCGTCAGACCAGAGCTGGACGCATGTGACTCGCCAGACAAGTATCCCCAGCTGTTTCATGTGATACTCGACGTGGAGGTGGAGAGCTTAGACAAGCAGAAAGACCTCACGCCGCCTTGGGAGCAGTTCCCATCTAAAGACCTGAGTCCCAATGTGCTTTTCTCCTGCCATCAGGAACATCAGGATGCTCTCGCCATTGCTGGTACTTGCCTCACTGATTATAATGCAGTGGTACACAACTGTTAACTAAAAAGAAACTATGCATTTATGCTGCAGAATTCACATAGAATAGCACTGTTTGACTAACTTTCACAAACTCTCTAAGCAACTTTTATTTCTGTTCCAACAAGATGAGATGGAAGGCTTGGATTTGGAGGGTAAGACAGCAGAGTAGAGTCCTGATATTCAAATGTACAAAACTTCAGTTAAGCAGAACAAGGGGCCGTTAATTTGATCATACGTAATATATTTATCGACACATTGCATTCAAATGATTGATTGAACGGCTACAAGCACACGTAACTGGATCATGTGGTATAAAATAGCCATTGATTGCATTGAATGGAGCCTCATCATTGCATCCACGTTTTGGCAATGAATAAAAATGCTTGAATTGCCTCTGATACAAATCATCATTCTAAATATGCGACACTATGATATATAAAGCACATCAACTAAATTTGCTCTGCCATAGTGAAATAAAAAGTTGTGAATACAACTAGATCAATCAGCACTTTGCATAAAGTTTACAATCTTCATTACCCAGAAATTTGGATTGCTGTAGATTTTGAGTGTTGCGTAAGGTGATGCTTGTAGACCTTATGCATTTAGTTGCCCATTATCTATTATTTCCTTCTTTACCCTATTTTTTCTTTACCTAGTTTACACCTAGTGCCTCATTTCCCCAAATATATGACCCCCTATAGCATCCATTTTTCACTCTCGTTTTTCATTTATGATTGACAACATCACTGTGTTTCTCTGTGTTCTCCCCTCTATTTTCTAAATGATCCTACAGAGCCGAGCAGGCCACCCGCAGGCCGTGATGGTCGAGGCCACGGTGAGGAGAGTGAGCCCTCTGACGACGAGATGATCTCTCTCTCCAGCCAGCGAAGCAGCACCAGCACAGCCCCCCGTAAAGGGGATCAGCCTTCTCCAACGCCCGCGGAGCCCGATCCGTCTGGGGAAGTAGATCTTCTCGGCTTGGATGGTGACGAGCTCAAGCAACCACCTCCCGTGACCCAACCTCCAGCTGCTGCAACTACTGACCTACTAGGGGACTTGTTTGGGGCTCCACCCCAGCCAACCAGCGGGCCATCATCCAACCACTCCACTCCACATAAAACAGTACAGAGCTCTGCCTCGCCATGTGCTTCTCCTGGCCCTCCAGGTGAGGATGACTGTAAGTACACAGTATTCAAGCAAAAATGGATTTACGCCTATAGCTTTGCAGACCTCTTAAAATGTCTCATAAAAAGTTCATGGTCCGAGTGAGCCTGTTGATTGCAGGGTGCACCCATGTTGACTATGGCAACAGTGACCTCTGTTGTCAATAGTTTTAACTGCAGTTACTTAAACTAAGACCACATCAGGTGCACCATCCAAAGTGGTCTTGCAATCGACTTTGTACAAACTTTAGCGACCCCTGGATTGAGGTTTTTTTTTTTTTTATTTGTTTTTTTGGAAAATTGGAAAACCCTAAACTCGTGGGGTGTATCTGGCAACACAATATCAAACACAAGACGTTTTTGTTATTGTTTCAATTCAGGTCAGCAGTAACCACTCCCTTTCTGCAACATGGAAGTGCCCTGTCGCCTCGTTAGTAAACATTATGAAGACATAGTAAGGGGTGTCCAATTGTTTTGTTTGAGGGCTGTATACTGAAAAATGGAAGGGTGAAAGGCCCACTTTAAAATTTGTCAACTTTTTGAAACATGCTCAAGTCAGTTAAGAAAGCAATTATATATTGTTTGGATTGTCTACTTAATTTCATCAACTTTCTGTTAAAGGTGTTAGTTAAAGCAAATAGTTGAGAATTTTTCCAAGTTTGTGGGGTGGCCACCACCCGTCTAATCCAGCCCTGCACTCAATTGCAGCCGAATCCCATCTCCACATTCAGAACCCAAAAAAGAACAAGCTGTAGTTAAGTGACCATTTTTCAAACAGTTACTTGAGGATCTTAATGATGTGATGTCTTCATAAATCAGCCATCAAGCACAAACTGAAAGAAACTGTTTTTGCCTCTACAATTGAATCATCTTTATTCACAACGGTGTTTTGAAGATAAATTGTGTTATTCTTTTAATCATAAATAGAGAAAAGTTCTACAGTATATAAGCAAATTTATTACCGGTAGTAGTAATTGCATCTATTTTTCGGACACCCTCCCTTTTCACTCTGCCCACCTTCATGTTTTTTAACGAACCTTGAGGCCCATGTCAAATGTTGTTTTTACGTAGTTTTTTTTTTGGTCATGTCGCGGGCCAGTGAAAAATGGATGTTGGGCCGCAAATGGCCCTTGGACCGTAGTTTATACATATGGAAAAAGGTCTATAGATTTTATGTCTACCTATAGATTGAATGATTAATGATATATATTCCTTGTAATTTCGTGAAAACAAAGTGCATATGCAACGTGAAAGGAGGTCAATTGACAAAATATTAGACAAACAGCTTTGTATGACAGAAGGCGTAATAAATACAGGGTACTACATTGTTGACTGTATTTAATTAGATTATTAAGCAAAACCAAATAGAAATTATGAACGCAGTTTTCTTGAAATTTTTATGGCATCCCCAGTGTTTGACCCCTTCGGAGTCGGTCCTATGCCGAAGCCTCAGGAGATGATGGGTTCGTTCCTCGGACCAGGTAACATGGACCAGCCACATTCCTTCTTGCATGCCACTCGCTCTCCATCCGCCACCTTGCAGCCCACAAGCTTTGGTGAGGCATGTCTCTGCTGTTCTGTTGCACACTGACACAACATTTTGGACAAGATCAGTACCGATCTGTTGTCTGTGACATTCCGCTGCATGTACAGCATGTTATATTGCACTGTAAATCCACTGTTCTGCTTTAATTAATGAAATTTCATGGTCTTTGCTTTTGAGCATTCACTGCTAAAATATCACAAAAACAAAAAAACAACTGTGTACAGTTATTGCTTTTTCAAAGTTCATTTGTGGTCATGTAGCCAAAATAATTTACATCTAAAAATACCAGATTATTTACATGATTCCCAAAAAACATCCATGCATCCATTGTCTAAAACGCTTGTCCTCATAAGGGTCATAATAACTGGATATCAGGCTAAAGGTGGGGTACACTCTGCACTGGCCGCAGGTCAGTCACTAGGCAAATATAAAAAAAAACATTGACATTCACATGGGGGTCTTATGTTCGTGACCACCGCAAGTCTGGCGCAGTAGACAACCCAAACCTACGTTGAGACAGTTAAGACTGAGTGTTGTTAATTGTGTGGAAGGGTGGATCTATAGGTTGGTGGGCTGCACCACTGTGGGGGTGTTTACACCCAACTTAATTCACTAGTAATCAAATTGATTCCTCTCATTCCATGCTGTTTACATCTTACATCCACCACATATGTCCATGGACCTCAGAATCTGTATGCCTGTTTCTCGATCAAATTCACCAAACTCGCATTAGACCACCTGGAGCCGGATTCAGACTGGATGTGGTCTGAGCAGGCGTAGCTTTAGACAGACGTTCTGCCACCAAAGTTGTTACTTCAAGGACATGCCCTCGCTTAACTAGGACTCCCATCTTGAGACCAAATTAAAAAACATATGCAAGCGAACCTTGTATTTGCACGAAAATCAGGAGAGATCACCATGGGCCATTTAATCAAATACAGCCCTTAAAGTCTTTGCAGAGGCATATTCTGGAGATGGGAGACAGGCCTGGAGAAAAAAAAAAAACATACAAGCATGAGAAGAGCATGCAAACGCTGATGGTGTTCCAACGGAGATTTTAACCCAGATCTCTTGACTTTGAGGCAGGCAGGCAAACACTCTTTCATCTCTTTGTTGCCTCCCACGAACTTTGGGTAATCATTTGGCACGTCCTACCTACTTTCTATACCTGAGAACTCACCCACCTCATGTGGTTAACTTTGCCACCCCTACTCTTTAATTGCTGTTTTTATTTTTTTTAATTATCGATTCAAGAGCAGCACAGCAAAATCATATTTAGCATGACTACTTCACAGTCCAAAGGATCAGGACATGAATCTGTCCTGTCTGGATTCTCCGGGTGTTCCGGGTATTCTGGCTTGCTGCCATATTCTAAAAGCATTCAACATTCAGCTTTATTCAAATCTCAAAATTGGCCATAAGTGTCAATGTCTTTTCAGCCTGCGATTGGCTGGTGAGCAGTCCAGGGTGTACCCTCCTCTCGCCGAAAGTCAGGCGAGATAGGCTCAAGCTCTTCCTCAAACCTAATGAAGGTTGTAAATCACTGTTCTTGAATAGGACGGAATTCCCCCGTCCACCCTGTTACCCCGACTGTCAACATCCAGCAGCAAAACGTCATGGGAGGCTGGGAATGGAACAGGACAGCCACGACAAGCGCAGGTACACCTGACTGCACTGATCATTGAGTGGAACCCACTACTATTTCCTTGTCTAGATACATTTAAAGACAGTGATGAGAGAGTGAGCCATATTTTAGTCATGATGAAAGGTTACACTCACTGCTCCAAGAAATGAATATCTGAATCTTATTCTATTTTTCAAGGAGGCAGCCTGGGAATGGGCAGTCGATCAGCCACAACGAGCCCCACAAGTTCTGTCCACAGCACACCCACCCATCAAAACAAGCCAAACACCCTGGACCCCTTTGCTGACATCGGTAACCTCGGGGGAAGCCTTGGAGGCAAGTTACTTCTCATATTCGCAAGTATCCACATTCTAGTTTCTTTTTAGTTCCTTTACTGTCGTGTGCCATAAACTCAGCCCTTTCTTCTAGGAGGTTCTGGATTCTCCAGCAAGCCCACTACACCAACAGGAACAACTCCTTCCTTTCCTCCCATGGGCTCCCCATCGCGGCCTCCTCCATCTCCCCAGCATGCAGGAGGGTGGCAGCCCCATTCAGGCACTGGCTTCCCATCATGGCAGCCTAACACTAGCACAGGAGGCTGGCAACCACAAGGACAAGGACCCACTCCGCAGCCAAAGCCAAGTCCTAGCCATACATCCATGCCTCACACTTCACCACAGAACCGACCCAACTATAATGTTAGTTTCTCCGCAGTTGGGGGTGGATCACCCAGCGCTGCGGGCAAAGCGCAGACAGGAATGGGTGAGAGAATCAAACTTGCTTACATTACTATTTTACAAACAAAAAACAACTTGAACATGTGTTATTTCATCTATAAGTGTTACAGTAGCTTTTGTCACACCCCTAAATACATTATTACCTGAATAAATAATGAATGTCTCTTGAAGTGTTGCCCACTTGGTTGCATCCGTTTCACACAGGCTCTAAGCCCAAGGCTTCCAATGCCAACTTTGATGACCTGCTGTCTGGTCAAGGCTTTGCAGGGGCCAAAGAGAAGAAAGGCCCCCGGACAATAGCAGAAATGCGGAAAGAGGAAATGGCCAAAGAGATGGACCCTGAGAAAATCAAGGTAGAAGCTGTTCACAATTTGGATGGCTGAACGCCTATTCATGTATGAATGTATTGTCTCGAGCAATAGATTGTGACTATACACACCCATTAGGCAGGGGTGGGCTGGCCTACAGGGAAGGAATGAATTTCTCAACAAACACAGTCACAAATGTTAATTTGAACTGGAATAGAGCAACTTCTGAATGGTCGTTGTGAATCGCTGATGACACAAACGTCTTCCAATCATGTAGAAAATGCCACAAAGTCATTTATTCTTTTAGATAAATATGTTTATCTTTATTTAAGTGTCTTAACCTTTGACCAATTAGCATATATATATATATCCACACACACACACACACACACACACACACACACACACGCACACACACTCTTGTGTGAGAGGTTTGGCATGTAGTTTGCGAGTGTGCACTGTGACGCAGTCAGCCGTATGAGGATGAGTGGTGTGCATCAATGCCCAGTAAGTCATGTCAATGCACAGACATTGTAAGCATTATATATGGTGACATATTTGGTTTTGTGTGACGTTCTTTGTCGCCGTGAGTCGAAGTTAGCATCACTGCGGTAAGTGGTTTCAAGAACGGAAACAGGAAGTACCGTGTTAGCTTACTCAATGTTGACTTAATGGTGTTTGATAAATCTGTCTTGTGTTTCTCACCCCATGGTATTTCCATTTGCCTATTACCGGGAGTCCTTTTTTGTCCATTTAAAATATTTATGTTCTCATACTTGTTCACAAACATTGATTGTGATCTGATCGGCACACTTAATTGTAACTTTTGAGTTTTGATCAAACAGTATAAAAATCGGTGTTGGAGGAATGGTGAGTTATATAAAAGTAAAATGATATGACTTGATGAGAATGTTTTGAACCACAGTGGACTAGTCTGAGCCATGAAACACCAGTAATCCTATAATGTTCTTGAGAATGTTAAAAATGTGGACATTTAGACAAATTGTTCTGGAAGTGGATTAGTGAGCAGATATGGATATGTTGGCAGCACTGCTATGGGCTTTTTTGGGCATGGCTACAACGGGGCCCAGGGACACACTTGGGCATCTGTCACAATTGCGAGTTACTTAATAATAAAACTGAGGCGCAATTCTACAGTGTGCAGTTAGGCATCAAACTACACCTTCAAGCCCCCCAAAATTGATCTTGGGTGTTATGACAATATGCAGTGCATGGAATTAGCTGATGGTGAGTCGCACAGCTCCAATGCAAATTGGCGTGCTACTTTAGCATAGTAGCAATTAGCCACTAGAGGGCTCATGAATTTGCAGACCGGTGGGGCCAGAGGTGCATTTGTCCAATACCTTACAGCCTTGCTCCATGCACCACATGTAGATCCCTACAAAAAAAGGCACTTAGGGAAAGTTAACTGTTCCTAATGTTTGCTAGCTGGCACAGAAATGAGCTCGCACGTGACAGGTTTGTCCATACATTAGCACCGCGCTGGGTGTTGTGTGTGGGTCCCCACATAACAGACATGCTGAAGTGACTGTTTATGAAACACAGTGGCATGTTTTTTCAGCCTGCAGCTGACGACTGACACACATGACTGACTGGTGAAGGTCAGTTTCATATACAGTACTTGACGATTAAAAACACACACACGCATATAATATATATATATATATATATATATATATACTTAAATATATGAGCCATCCCCCATTTGCATGGAAATCACATTTGGAGGTTTATCAGAGTTTTTTTTAAAGATTTTTTTTTTTTTTTTTTTTGCTGTGGGCTGACCGGCGCAGTCCCTATCCTCTGCGAATATTGGGGGTCCACTGTATAACACAATAATGCATTTGGAGCATTGAAGTAAACATTAAATAGCATAAAATTTGTGTTTTTTTTATTTAACTGCGATTGCACTCCAACTTCCCCTACAGTCCAAGAATGGGCTCATTAGATGCAGATGTAAGTGTGAATGGTTGTTTGTCTGCATGTGCCCTGCGACTGCCAACGAATCCAGGGTGTTGTCTACCACTCATCAACGTATAACTCCAGTGAAATGTAAAAGGCAGTCGTTTCAAATCTCTTCATTACTTGCTAATGACACCTTTGCCTGTTTGTTTTTCAGATTCTAGAATGGATTGAAGGGAAGGAGCGGAACATCCGTGCCCTCTTGTCCACTATGCATACAGTATTGTGGGAAGGAGAAACGCGCTGGAAGCCAGTTGGAATGGCCGACCTGGTAACTCCAGAACAGGTCAAAAAGGTCTACCGCAAAGCAGTCCTCGTCGTCCACCCAGATAAGGTCGAGACAAATAAGACAATAGTCATATCTTTTCTCATTTAGTGAATTAGATAGAAATAATATGAAGGCAAACCCCATCTGGTACTGTCTCAACACATCTACACTGGCTACTTAGAAAAATTACAGGCTGATTTCACTTATTTTGGCAGCTTAACTAGTTTTAAATGTTTGTTTAGCTTAACCCGCAAAAATGTAGTATGTAGTCGAATTTCAACTTTTTAAAAAAAATTCTAATTATCATTCATGACAGTTATTGTCAGGATATCCCAGTAAAATCTAATGTCCTTTCATTCGAGAGCATGAAACAACTTTTTAATTATTAACATATTTCCTGGGATTGGCTGTGTGAAATCACATGGTTCTACTCCTTTATTGTAAGACGTGCGGCATCCATAACAAAGTTTAAGTCACCAAATATAATTTCTTACCACATAAAAGTTACATGTTGGGTTGAATTCTTATATCTCCGAAATTATCACTTTTTAGGAGACACCTCAAGCGGCATGCTTGTTCACCCATTACTATCGCGTCATCAAAGAGGGCAAGCCATTTTCAGCCCTTTTGATTCATCAACAATTTGTAAAAAAAAAAAAAAAATCAAATAAATAACCCCCCCACACATGTGGACTGACCAATATATTAGATTTGTAAATTAAAAAAAAAAAAAAAAGCTGAAATGTACCAAATTGTAACCTAGGCGGTTTTGAAGGTAGCGATATTTGACTTGGTGTCAAGGAATCGACAATAAGAGCTTTGTGTGTTTCAAAGTGTGACCCAAGTGTCCCAGCAATGCGAGCCAACAATTGGATGAGACTTTAATGTTAGACGGGGTATAAGCCATCAAATCATCATCTTATTTTAATCGATGCTGCACAGGAACTTTCTGATACATGATACAATGAGATAAAATATGAAACTGATCACCAGAAAAATGATCACTCCCTCGATAATGTGATGAGTGAAAGATCCAAAGGTGGGCCTCAGCCAGTCAAATAAAGAACTATTTTCCTGATGAACAAAATGGGCTGTATCATGAAGGTGGGTAATGATATTATCAATAGTGACGTTATAGTCCGGCACAAAGGTACAGCATTCAGATCCAATCACAGAACAAGTTCCCCCTCGCGCCGCTAGGAGAAAATCCAAAGCTGCTCGGTTTTGTAACGCAAGCAGTCTAACAGAAGCGAGTTCACTCGACATGAGCATCAGCGCCCGGCTGGTTTCATTCGCGATAGTTTCGATTGCATGAGACAGATCGGCGATTTGATCTAAAGCCGACATAACGCCATAGAAGGGGAGAAGGGAACCAAGTGCATTCTTGAATGGAGACTGATGGTGTGTCCAGAATAAATCGGAAACAGCACGTTTCAGTCTGGGAGAATGAGGTTTCTTCGGCAAAGATTGAGTCACTCTCATAGCCGGGATGACATACGCTAAACCACAGCGTCCTTTGTAATCCACTGGAAGATAGGGGTAAGCCAGGTTTCCACACACCCAGTACATTCCCACTGGAGCGGATACGGAGCAGATGGCAGTGAGGTGAGCAAGTGCGTTGAGCCGAGTTGGGCCTGCCTTCTCCAGGCACTGCTGGGGCCTTGATTTCACTGACTGAAACTCGCTGTCGGGATGTCTTGGGTCCCATTTAAATGTGTGAAGGCAGTCCGATTCTCCTACAGGTGCTGTCCCGTCATTTTCCAGACACCAAGAAAAGCTCTGAGGAATCAGCTGTACAGGCACCGGTTTGGGTGTTTTCACGCACCTGTTGCAGTTTGAGTGTGGTCCTGAACAGTTGAGGGGTCTCATTTTTGACAGACGAGGGCATTCGGGGTGAGAGTAAGATTGAGAAAAAGGGATATGCAGCAAGTGACAAGTGTCGCAGTCAGAGGCGGGCAGGGCCATCAGAGGCAAGCCCTCTCCAGCCGTGTAGGGCATAAAACCACAGACATAACAGCTGGAATTAGGCTGGATGTGCTGCGCTACTTGCCAAGCCATAGTCAGGAAAACGTTGAAATCGTCTACTCTCACATCCGGGGACTTTGTTGCCTGCGGCGCACCGAGGATGGATTCCACTAAGACGACAACCAGGAGAAGCATGGCCATCCTTTGTCACTGAAATCAAGAATGTAAAAAATGAATGAGAACCAGGAAAAGAATGAAATGAAAAACACGGACCAGGCAACCTGGAGATCATCTGTGGAATATGAGCGTGTGGAGTCTCCTCCCCTCTCTTTATCCTCTCATATCAGCAGGCGCACGCACAGCATGTCACATGTCCCATTAATCAATCTCTGCTAATCAATCCATTCAAGGGCTAAATCTTGTCATGATCAAAAGAGGATATTCAGGCTTTCAGGAGGCTGCAATGAGACATCAAGAACACTTTGACACCAGTCAAATGGCACTCCGGTTGAGCGGTTGACCTGCCTTTGCTTCAGTAATCTTCTGTCCCAGTTCATTGTTTGCATGACACCCCCTTATGTACTTTGGTTTTTTCCATTTTCAACTTAATGTATGTGTGAACAGGCTGTGTTTGTTGACACGGTTTCTTGGCTGACTGCTGCCCCGGAGTAAAGTGCATTTCTGCATTTCTCACCAGAAAGCATGATTGGGAGGTTTCTGACTGCATTTCAATAAGAGGCAAAGCTCAAACTTTGATATAATTAGAGGCACCACTTGTTGTGAGGAAAAAAGAAACGACAACAAAAAGCGCCTCCAGAAAGCACATAAATGTCTGCTTGAATACATTTACAGTACAATAATAATATGCAAAATGGACCGTGCCTTGTAATTCTACCACCACAATTTGGGACCTGGTACTTGGCTCCCTCTCACATACAAACATGCATGCGAGATTAATTGACCACTCAAACATTAGCTGTCGTTGTGAACGTAAGTGTGGATGGTAATTTGTTTTGTTTTCAGAGATAAGCAAGTAGCAAATGGATCTTGCCGTGATATTACATGAATGCTATTGACAAAACAATCACTTGTGCTCATCATGAGTGTCATTGTTGAGCTACATTCAGTCAACATTTATTTCATCCATTACTGGAATGAAAACAGGAGTCATGAGAGGGATTCGTCTATCCCAATGAAAATCCATCCCTCCATTTTCTGATCCGCTTATCCTCACGAGGGTCGCGGAGGGTGCTGGAGCCTATCCCAGCTGTCTTCGGGCACTAGGCGGGGGACACCCTGAACTGGTTGCTAGCCAATCGCAGAGCACACAGAGACGAACAACCATCCGCGCTCACACTCACACCTAGGGACAATTTAGATCAGTGGTTCTTAACCTGGGTTCGATCGAACCCTAGGGGTTTGGTGAATCAGTCTCGGGTTCGACGGAGCCTCTGCCATGGAGGTTAAGACACACCTGACTCAACATGTTAATTAGTTATGACACACCCGCTTGGCCATCACTGGCTGGTTCATTTTGTGCACAATTAAAAAACGTATACAGTACTTTATACTTATATTAATTGTGTTGACTTTTTTATGTCGTAAATTTGTAAAAAAAATTTTTTTTAAATCTTATTTTTAATTTTCAATAATGAAGGGTTCAGTGAATGTGCATATGAACTGGTTGGGGTTGGACAAGGTTAAGAATCACTGATTTAGAGCAGGGGTCCCCAACCTTTTTTGCCCCACGGACCGGTTTATGTCAGACAATATTTTCAGGGACCGGCATTTAAGGTGTGGCGGAAATAATACAACAAAATAATATGGTATGAGCTGCATGAAAACTGTGGTGTTTTCGAAATATAATAATAAACACAAGGAGCGTCTAATCTGCGGGGTAATAGGAGACAATGACACCTCAAGTGTGTGGTTTATGTCGAGTCTACTTCGTAATTTTGTTTTAGTCGCCGTTGCTGCAGAAAACCCCCGCCTCACACAGGTAGCATGTCGGAAATAGCAACAGTGCTACTGTGGCGATCTCAGAATATTCAGCCATAACTTTCATCCAGTTGTTTCGAACGTACTTTTAAGGCCGCCGTCATTTGCGATCTCCAGCGTTTTTTTTACTCATTTTGCGAGCTCTGGCGTTTTGTTTTTAGCGTAATCGGTCACGTGACGGAGAAGCGTGGCTTGACGTGTGTCAAGCGTGACACAGACGGATGTAACGGAGAACCCGGTAATTTTTCAAAATAAAACATCTTTCGTCTTCCGAAATAAATAAAACGGAATTAAGGCAAGTTCTTTCTGTGCGGCCCGGTACCAAATGCCCTGTGGACCGGTACCGTGTGTAAACTCCACACAGGAAGCCCGGAGCCATAATCGAACCTTGCACCCTGCACTGTGAGACCAACGTGTTAACCAGTTGACCACTGTTCCATCCCCAAAGCCATTGAAAATATTTACCAAAAGATATATCTACATGTATATATATATGAATCTTTGCTGATTTTTTTCTCTGTCATTTCCCTTCTCAGGCAACAGGACAACCCTATGAACAGTATGCCAAGATGATATTCATGGAACTAAATGATGCCTGGTCCGAATTTGAAAGCCAAGGACAAAAACCTCTTTACTAAAAAATGGAGTGCAAGGGAATACAGGAAGAGAAGATCCTGACACTTTTCATCTCTCTGGTCAATATTTGTGTTGGTACAGCCATTTTTGGGTTCCCACCTCACAGTACTGTATAGCCTCCTACTGTATAACCTTTGTGCAATATTACCTCTCCCTTGTGGGGTGCACTTAGCTCTGAAGTAGCTCAGCAATCAAAGCAGACACAATGCAGTGTCTGGGCTCCATTTGACTTGACGAGATCAAACTAGAACAGTCGATAGTGTGCACACAAGATAAGAGAAAAACATCAGTGAGTGGGCAGCGAACAAATGAGGGATCATGTAAGTACACTAATTGTTCCCATTCACGGGCTTAGAATGTTGCTATTGACTCCCTCGGTTGTTTTGTAGGAACACCAAGAATAATTGTACAGAAATTAACAATACAATATTACATGATCAGTCGGAAAAAGGTGGAGTGCCCCCTACGGGTCGGGGAGGAGATCTTGCCCCAAGTGGAGGAGTTTAAGTATCTTTGGGTCTTGTTCACGAGTGACGGCAGGAGTGAGCGAGAGATCGACAGGCGGATCGGTGCAGCGTCTGCTATGATGCGGACTTTGTATCGGTCTGTCGTGGTAAAGAAGGAGCTGAGCCAAAGGGCGAAGCTCTCAATTTACCGGTCGATCTACATTCCAACCCTCATTTATGGTCACGAGCTATGGGTCGTGACCGAAAGAACGAGATCCCGGATACAAGGGGCCGAAATGAGTTTTCTCCGTAGGGCTCTCCCTTAGAGATTGGGTGAGAAGCGCGGTCATCCGGGAAGGGCTCAGAGTCGAGCGGCTTCTCCTCCACATCGAGAGGAGCCAGATGAGGTGGCTCGGGCATCTGATTAGGATGCCTCCTGGACGCCTCCCTGGTGAGGTGTTCTGGGCATGTCCCACCGGCAGGAGGCCCCGGGGACGACCCAGGACACGCTGGTGAGACTATGTCGCCCAGCTGGCCTCGGAACGCCTCGGGATCCCCCGGGAAGAGCTGGAAGAAATGGCTCGGGAGAGGGACGTCTGGGCTTCGCTGCTAAAGCTGCTGCCCCCGCGACCCGACCCCGGATAAGCGGTAGAAGATGGATGGATGGAATATTACATGAGAAGGCATCAATAGGGATTCTATAAACCTCCACCTGAAACATGCCGAGACCATTTATTGACAGTTGACCTTGTTGCCTAGTGCTTTTAGTGGCTGTAAATTAGGATTTAGCACATGTACTGTATACGGTTTGAGACATGAAGCACTTTGAAGCCTCATGCGCCGTCACTCACACAATATCAAATCAAGTAATTCGCAAATTTTTCAGTGGTAGCTATCAAGGGGTTTGCTCAAAGCACAAAAATAAATCTGTGTAACTTGGAAGGAAGGTGATTATTGTTTAATTTTCTTTTCTCATGATATGCCCAGGATGTTTTTTCATGTTTTTTTAAGCATCCAGGCATTCAATCCTAAGTATGTCCTTCGGTATTTAAAAAAAAAAAAAATCACGTGGTAGGTTAAAGAAATATCTGAAAATGGCTGACACTGAATGAGTTAAGCATTTTCCTAAGTATGTCTTTCGGTATTTAAAAAAAATAAAAATCACGTGGTAGGTTCAAGAAATATCTGAAAATGGCTAACACTGAATGAGTTAAGCATTTTGTTCATTGTTATCGCAGTTTACCAGGACTCCTTCATGTTAATAGTCTAAATAAAGTCCGCTAGTCTTTTGCTCTATTTATTTAAAAAAAAAAAAACTTGCAGATGTCTGAGCCAATAACTCCTCGACAGAGTGTCAAACTAGCAGCGAATGGTCAGATAGCACTCTTTCCGTGTGTTCAGCCTTTTGTGGGTTGCAATACAAGTTTCAAACCGCAATACAGAAATCACCAAATTTTATGCAATATCACTGCTCGTTTAAACCATCTGCTACTCTCCCAATTGGTAAGAATGCAATAATAGGTTTATGTTGCAATGTTTTATAGTCTAAAATGAAATGATAACGTAATACCGATGGTAGTCCTTTATTTCATGTATCCATAAGTCGGCCGGTACTGTAAAAATGTCATGAAATGTATTACTTGATGCCATGAGCTTACTTTTGTATGACAATTCCTATCAGAGCACTGACACTTTTGTTTGTTTTAATAATGCTCACACAGTTTGTCATGAATAGCATTGTGTTATCTTCATTCAAGGGACATACTCCCATTTGTCAACATCATTACATCTGATTGTAATATCTGATTCTGGGACATATTTTAGGACATTTACAGTACATGCAGTTAGGACAGTTGATGCCCTTTGTCGGTTCAAAATGATTTTAACCCTGTTTACTGTTGTCATTTTTTCGGTCGTCTGTTGTCATCTTTTGTTTTCAGGACTCTCTCATCTGTATTTTGTATAGTGACTGAAAACCGCTCAAAGGAAAGGACACTTTCAATTGATATCTGGGATCTGAAATGGTTTGAAATCTGCAAAGTGCGGTGGACACTCTACAACCGTGGCACTGGAAAAACAGGAAAGGAAGTGCAAACACAGGATATGTACTCTTTGTACTGTACGTGCTATTGTGCTCCACTTCCATGGACGATCAACATATGAAATAACGCATAAGCTCCCTTGCTGACTGAATTATCCATCTACAGTCTTACAAGTCGGCAAAAAACTAAAACATATGTGTTGTACTCAGTGGATGTGTGTTTGTTTAAATTGTAGAATGTATGGACGTGATTTGGACCATTGTATGTTTTATGTGTTTGCCTGTCTGCTGTTAACGTATTACTAAACTGAGTAAAACGCGATGGACGTGTTCCCTTTTATTTTGTACTTTTACTGTCACAGAAAAGGTAACAGGAAACTGAAGAAGGTGGAAGGCGGACACTGGTGATTTCAAAACAAGCAAAGAAGCCTGTGAGGGCGGTAAATCCAGTTGTTATGGTCAATGGGCTGTCACTGCCTTTGGTACTTAAAACGCTTTACACTCGTTGCTCATTTACTTACTGATGACGCAGCATATGGAGCAACTGGGGGGTTCAGTATCTTGCTCAAGGACACGTCGATCAGATCGCATATTGAACCCTCAACCTCCGGGTTGGGAGACGGCCACTCGACCACTGAGCAATGCCGCTGTTCATATGGCATGCTCATGTACTACAGCAAGGAATGGAATTGCTCAGTCAGATTAAAAAAATATATATACTAACAGACAGTAAACACAAAATTTGGAAATTAACAAAACTGAATGGAAATAAAAGTATACCTAAAAAAAGGTTTCATGAAAAAAAAAAGCATAAGCAGTCACATAGAGACAATGGTGTCTAATTTAAAACCCAACTTTGAAAGCCTAGGTCAGGGGTGGCCAACCCGCGGCTCGCGAGCCGCATGCGGCTCTTTGGCCGGTTCAATGCGGCTCCCGGGCTTTCACGCGACAATTGTCGAAAACGCCTCGGCGATGGCGCTGCCATTCAAACAACGGTGCCTAATACACAGAACGTACTACGTCAGCCTATCATCAATCCCTTGACTTGATTGACATAGAGGGCAACCAATCGGATGACTGAATCACCACTCATGCGCAGACACAACGGCGCTAAGTGCTAAGCTAGTCAGTGAATTACCTCTGTTTTTAAGGCAGGGGTGCCCAATACGTCGATCGCAATCGACCAAGAGTCAGCAGACTGGTCCCAAGTCGACCACGAGCGGTGGGAGGAGGAAATACACACACACACACACACACACACACACACACAAACACACACACGTACACAAGTACTGGTAGTTTAAACAGCAGATGACCACAGATGCATCTAAGGGCCTCCCCCACCCTATCACACTAACGTAATCCCTTTTTTTGCAACGTAAGAGGAATCAACATGTGGAATCATCAAGCACACAAACAAATCCTAGGAGGTGGAATGACTGGGAGCAGATTCTCAAGAAGACCCGGCTTTCAGCTCCCACCCCTAGGTGTGATCCGTAATTCTTTTTCCAATGATGTCAGGTCTTTCTTTGATTTCTTTCATGTGTTCCTGGAAGACACGAAGCATCCAGGAAAACAAACCGCTGCTATTTTTGAAGTTACTAATTGCGGTTTACTCAAAGCACTTTTGTTAGCATGATTACAAAAGCCTTGCTGAGGATTGTGACCCAAAGCAATGTGACAAATGCATCTTATTGACAACATTCAGATCTACTGTTTGCAGCAGGTTTGGATATGTGAAGGTCAACAGGATTGATTGGCCTTGGTGGAGGTCATTAAATCATTGGAACCGGTCCCTATGGGGTTGTCAGGTGCACATGACATAGGACAAGTCTACAATCCGGAAACCTCTTGCATTAAAATGTAGCTCACCATCACGAAATTACTCCCCTCCCCCCCACCCCATAAGAAATGTATTTGTTGGTTTTGTGTTGATGACCTGGATTGGTGATGTCTAAAATTTAAATTGTAATGTCGGGCAGCACGTCACTAATCATCCCATAAGGCAGTAGTTAAGCAGGACTCGATCACAGTGGCATAGCTGGACCCGAATGTCATTCCCAAGAGGGAATCTGGGGCCATTTTCAATACTGCTGTCAGTCAAGGAATCACATACTTACTTGCTCTTTTCTTTTGTTTGTCCCGTCCCTCCTTGTGCTTTGTTGATACACTTCTCGAGAGAGCAAAATCAGTTTGCACAGGCTTTTTTGTCTTAACGTACTCCATTAAGCACAACTTCATTTTGCATAAAATAGGATCAATCTAAAATGCAGCAACGCCATTCTAAATTGGCAATTTTATTCAGAGACTGCTTTTTTTTTTTTTTAATTCAAAGCTATGTGTGAAAAAGTGCCTGACCCCTTATTAAATCACAAATGAACTGTGGCTAATCACTTTTTTCTGGAAAGCAGATTTGATTAGCGACTTCTTTGCTTTGTAACGTAATATCCAAGTCGAAACGAACTGGTATAGACATGCATGCCTCGGTAGATAGTCTACTCTATATAGTATTCATTTTTGCAAATGTTGACATGCCAAAATGACCACCAATCTGTCGGACAACGCTTGTCATTATTTCAAGTCGACCAAATATATCATTGTCAGTCTGTCACTCTATCGTTGTTATTTTTCCATTGTGAGACGAATAAAGGGTTTCTTATTCTTATTATTTACAAGTGCTTCTGTCATCGCTATTTTTGGAGCGTCAGTAAATTTCACCGGTCCGCCAGTCTGTCATCATCAGTCCGTCACTCCGTCATTGTGATTCTAACTTCGCTCCTGTCTCTCCTCAATCTATCCATAATCTATAACACAGGTGTTAAAGTCAAGGCCTGGGGGCCAGATCTGGCCCGCCACATCATTTTTTGTGGCCCGCGAAAGCAAATCAAGCATGTCAACTCCCATGATGCTTGCTAAAGTCTGAACTAAAATTTCAAATTGTCATATCCAATCCAGAACAACAATGTTTGAACAAGCCATTATTCTTGACTTCTGGTTTCAAAACATGTTATGCATCAATTTGTTGTTTGCTGTGGATGTAATATGTGGAGGTGGTTAAACATT